CATATAGTCATGTTGTACATCTTAATTATATACAATGTTTATTAAAAATTATATATATATGGAAAAATTTAACTATAATAGATAACCTAAGTCAAATGAGATCTAAATCATCACAGGTGATAATAGAGTATCATAAAAATACTAATTCTCCCCCAAATTAACCTACAGATTCAGTGAAAAATCAGTCAAAATCCAAAAAGTATTTTTTGTGGAACTTGATTACAAACAAAAAACCCACATGAAAGAGTAAAAGTCCAGGAAATAGGGAAAGTTATCTTTTAAAAAAAGAACAGGGGCTTCCCTGGTGGCGCAGTGGTTGAGAGTCCGCCTGCCGATGCAGGGGACACGGGTTCCTGCCCCGGTCCGCGAAGATCCCACATGCCGCGGAGCGGCTGGGCCTGTGAGCCATGGCCGCTGAGCCTGCGCATCCGGAGCCTGTGCTCCACAACGGGAGAGGCCACAACAGTGAGAGGCCCGCGTACCGCAAAAAAAAAAGAACAAAAGTATAAAGTATAATGTTTCAAAAATTAATTTGTTAGTGCTGCTAGAAAACACCTAGAAAATTAATGGAATAAATAAACAGAATTTTTCAGAAGCAAGTTGGAAACTATTAGTGGATCAGGAAATCAGTTTAGTAGTTACCACCAGATTTGTTTTTTAATGGGTTGTAAGAAAAGAGAAATTATCAAAGTGTAACACATCTATTAGGTGTGGGTGTTGCTTGACGTGTGGGTGCATGCATGGTAGTGCATCAGTTTACAAGGTAAGTTGTTCCTTACTTTGTGTAGCACTATAAAAAGTTTGAAAAACATTGAAACGGTAGAGAGACAGAATAGCATATGGGAATTTGGAATATGATTAGTGTGCTATTTCACAGCAGTAGGAAAAAGAACTGTTCAGTAAAGAGTGTTGGGACATTAGCTATCTATATAAAATAGTAATAAAGTTAGTGCTCTATCGCACACAATACGTAAAACCATATTTTAAATGGTTTAAAAACTGAAGGTTAAAAACTCCTATTAAGAACTCCTATGAAAATATTAGGAGAAATGTGTAAATGAAATTTCTACACAATGAAAAACACCATGTAAAATTTTAGAGACAAGAAAGAACATTTGCAACTTTTATAAAAAGTACAGATTAGTACTCAAAATGTATAGCTGTCTCATTTACATAAATTGAAGAATTTATAAGCCCAATAGGAAAATGAATAAAGGGTATTAACAGATAAACATACACAGACATAAGTATGCCTAACTCCAGGATGCAAATGAAAACAATAATAGTACAGTTTTTCACACTCAGAAAAGCGAAGAGTTTAATACTATCAAGGTTGGTCAGGATCTAGAGAAAATTATACTCAAATATGCAGATGGGGGAAGGGGTAAATTGTCAGGCTACTTTGGAGGGCAGTTTGCAAGTATGTATTAAAATTAAAATGCATAGTTTCTAACTCAGCAATTCTACTTGTGGCAATTATCCTAGAAGAACACACACAACCATGCCCAGAAAGAGATACGTAGAAGTGTTCATTGCTCATGGTTTACAATAGAAAAAAATTTAAACTCAGATCTAGTGGGTAGAGGCCAAGGATGCTGCTAAACATCCTACAATGCCCTGAACATGCTCCCCCCAACTCTAGCAACAAAGAGTTATCCAACTCAAAATGTCAACATTTATGCTAATGAGAAACCCTAGTGTAAAACAAAAGTTGCTAACAGCCACTACCAATTGTGTTACTATGTGTGATCCCTCTTCTACCTTCTCTTTCACTCTCTGTGTATATTAGGATTCACATATTTTTTCCTCTGTACATCTACAGTCTACATAAGATTTGATAACTGGTGGTCTGCTTCTGAGAAACATCCTAAACATGTGCACCTCATTGGAGTCATTCTGGGATCTTCCCTGCAACAAAGTGTCTGAGCAGCCAAATGTAAGGGACTCGCGCTTCTTTTCTTTTTTCAATCTGATTGACCAGGCACTTGAACCAGGAATCTGAATGGTCCTAATACAACTTCTTGTCTAGCTGGTCTAAGCAACATGGCTGCCTTTCCTGACCCTGACTAATCTTCCCAAATTTTACTCCGTGCCTTAATATATGTATCTGTAGCTCCAATGCCTGCTTTGTCTACCTCCCTATCTCACGAGGTCCTTGCCAGGCCAGCTGCTCACATCTCAAAATGATAAATAAAATGTGCCCATGGGGAGAGCCTATGCCAACATTACCAGGGTAGTCAAGAAAACTGCCAGCTGATGCTTTGGTTTTAACCTCTTGGGTTAAACTATAACACACTAATGGAGGCACCAAACACTATAATATGCACAGAGAAAGAAAAAAATAAAACAATAAAGAAATACTCTAATTGCTATAATACAATGACTTCTGAATATTGACATTGGGAAACCTAGAACAGTCATGTTAAAATAGTCCATTATTAAAATATCAATTTTTGAAACACAGTGACATCAGACAACTGGAAAAAAAAACACTTCATGCTTAGTGAAGTCAATTATACTTTTACAAAGATATCCATTATCTCAGCAAATGCAATTTCCAAGACAAACCTATTTAGCAAAGGGCAATCAAAATACCTTTGTTTTCATTGTTTTTGAAACTTCTTTCCATAGTCTCATAGCGAATCTAAATTTCCTTAAAATAGGTATAATTGTATTAATAACACTGCTGAAAGAAATGAGTAACTGGGCATTAAGAAAGGCTGCATAGTATGATGGTTAATAGCATGGCGCCTGGTGCCAGACAGTCTGGGTTCAAAATCAAACTCCCAACTTACCACCTGTGACCATGGTCTGTTCACTTGATCTCTTTGTGCCTCTTTTTCCTCATCTGCAAATTGCAAATAGTAATAGTACCCATTGCTTAGGGTTCTTATGAGGTTTAAACTAAGTTATATGTGGAAATACATACATGGTACATAGTCGATACCATATGTCTGTTAAGTAAATGATTAGCAGTATTTTAAAAACATAAAACAAGTAAACAATTAGGCTTTCATGAATCAAAGGTCATGTTTTTCACTCTCCAAGGCACAGGACCTGTTTCCCAGTCTCAAGCATCTTTGAGTAAATGTGCTATGAACTGGGCCAAAAGTTGTCATGCTGGTCCAAAATCTGCAACTAATGTACTACATTTGCATCTCTGTACAAAAAAATTTTTATCCCAACAGAGAGATCAACTTCTAAAATGGCCAGAGGGGAAAGAGAAAATAAGTAACAACACAGAAATGTTAAGCACAATTCAAATAAACAATGATATGACAAAATATGAAAACATTCTATTTATGAAGTAGATTAAAAATCCTGATGGTAACAATAAGAAGAAAGCCTATGGTTCCTAATAAGCATAAATACGTCTTCAGATTTAAATTCTATATTTCAATAAAGGCAGTTCCTAGGACCAAACTTCTTGATGGGAAGGCAAACAGAACAACAAGGGTCACAGTTCAGAGATCCTGTGTTTCGAAATTAATGTCAAATCTTTTCTTTTGTCAAATCAAAACAAACCTAGACTTAAATAAGGAGAGACTTTATTCCAGAAGTCTACTGCAATAGGGAAAAATGCTCCAAGCTTTGGATCTACAAGTGTCTCACTGTCAAATAGAAAAAGACTTTTATAAGGAGGGGTAAGCAGGCTAGCAGGAACTTTTGAGAAGAAATGAGGCAACTGGTGGGTAGAAGCAGACAGCACGATTGGGCTGTGGTCATGCATTTACTGCTTGCTCAGACTTGGGGCATGCCAAGTTCAGGGGTCTGGGAGGAAGAGAAAAGCCTGACTAAAGTTTGATCAGGCCAAAGCTGAAGGTGAGTGATGGACAATTGTGAACACCTGCTCTCATGAATACTGTAGGAATACTGGTACCAGAATAAAAGAGTGGTTAGGAGTGAAACCCTCCAAATGGGTTAAGTAAATAACCAACCTGACATCAACTAAAAAGTCCAATTTTTGCTCTCCCTTTGGGCACCTGACCCTTTTTTTCCCGGGCTCCAGCTACACAGGATAAGTGAGGGGTGTGCTGCTGCCAGCATTACCAGGCCAATCAAAGGATTTGCAGACTTATGTTTTCACATAAATCTCCCTTAAAGAAACATTCCATCCTAACAAAGGAAACCAACGACGAGCACGTGCAAAAAGTAAAAGAAGAAGCAGCAACACAGGAATGTTGTAATTACTGTTTACAAGTAGGAATAAGCTCCAAATACTAGGATGGGGACATCTGGGAACAAACGGGTTGCACAAAGTCATAAAAATGTTCTCCTACCAGAAAACTCACTGCAAATATTCCACTGGTATCAGATTGGGGGGAGGGGCACACCTTTAATTCATATTAAACAAATAGGGAACATGTTCTTAAACTAGAGGACAGTTAAAGCCTGGACATATAATTGGATGAAACTTATTAGTGACTTAAAAAATAGGATTCAAATTCTAATTATACTTTTGATATTGTTGCTAAAACAGATAACTACTCTTGCTCATTTAAAGAACTCTGAGATTACTTTTAAAATACTGGAATCCAAAACTGTGAAAAGAGAAAGCAGACTTGAGTTTTGTGTCAGGATTCTTCGCTTGATTTTCCATAGCAGTCATAGATAACATCTTTAATTTTTTTGCTTAAAGGCCTTCCAGCAGATTACATGAATTCTCCTCTCAGTGAACAGTGGTTTGAACAGATGTACCAGCAAGGTGTGATGAAAACCGAAGAGCATCTGCACATCAAAATGAGCCCTCCTCTCGTCCCAGGTGCCCTCCTTCTAGAGAGCATTTAACCCCCATGCCTGGAAAGGCTGCCTCCTCCCTCACACAGGGCACGCCGGCCTGGTCACACGGGACCCCATCACAGTGTGTTATGACTGTATAAGGTACTGGTGTGTCTCTCCCGCCAGACTGGCAGGCTTTAGTACTTCCTAATTCATACAGTAGCTTAATTAAAAATGAAAAATTATCTGGCATTATATTATTTGAAACACAATACACTTACCAGTCAGTGATATGTTATGACTCTCCAAGGAAAGGTTAGAGTATTTTGCCAACATTTCTTCCCGGACAGGTAGGCTTGTGAAAGATGCAGCTGTAAGAATAAGAACATGTGATTACATATTATTATCAAGGTTAAGTGACTGTCTAAAAGCTAGTTCACAACAGCTAAAATGGTATATTGTATACTACTAATGAAAAATAATGTTTTCAGAAAGCTCTGATTCACTAGGTCTTACACGCTCCACAGACATTCAGAAACACACTGAGCTATTAAATATAACAAAATTTCCAATTTGTCTATGTTCTTTTCTTACTGAAAAATCCCTATTGATTACATCAAATGGCTTTAAAAAAAAACCTTTCCTTATCCTAAAATTCATAGTTTCTTTATAAAACATAAATGAAGATATGGAGAAATTAGATGAGTGCCAGGGGAAAAAAAGGACATAGAAAGGCAGAGAGAAGATGAGAGCACAAAAAGGGACAGAGAGACCAAAATAAAGGGCATAAAAAAGGAATAAGAGAGAGTGCACTGGGCGCTAGAGGACAGAGAACATAAATGGATGGACAGGGAGAGTCTGTGCTGCTCTGTTTTCCAGCTATGGTGACGGTCCAGTGTGTCCTCTACCAAACCAACTTTCCGTTTTTCTGTCACTTATGTCTTCTTTCAAAAACATTCATCGAAGAAACAAGGTTTCCATTTCCACCTGTCCCACTCTCCTCAAAGATTCTTTTTTTTTTTTTTTAACACTAGCTACTGTTTCTTTGACTTTAGGACACAGACCTTACCTCCCACGAAAACTACCCCAACTTTACCAAACTAGTCAGAGGAGAAAGGCTCATTATTGTAAACTTGGCTGCATTCTTAAGACCCTTCATTCACTTTAAATTAAACCTGGGCCTTTTTTACACCACATTTTTAATATTCTGCTCAAAAAGTTATTCCTAGTGCAAGATTAGATTTCTAATCCTTGACTTATATGTATGCAAAATGTTATCAAAGCAAGTGATCATTTTTGTTGCTTCAGTTTACACACAGCTTTTCAATATTGCCTAATAAAAAAACCTACCTTGCAGAACCTAGCTCTCCAATTAGCCATGTTCCAGAGCTTTGATCACTTCTAATACAGTCTTGGAAGGTGGGATGCACTTTCCCATAAAATAATCCTTTAACAAATAACATACCTAAATCATACCACCCTCTGACAGTGATTATTTAGGAAAATATGCCCCGAGTTTCTCACTAGGCTGTCAGGAGTACAAAACTTCTCCACCCACACCTAATATTCATTCATTCCTATTCTCTCTCTCTGTCACTCTCTCTCAAGCACACACACACATTGCCAAAAAGTCACCTATCAATATGAAAATTCTTTTTTCTATTATTGGGCATAGCTCACTTACAGGTTGCAGGAAGCCAGGAGGAAACAGCATCTGGGAACAGCAGATGGGAAAGAAAGAACTGTTCTACTCTATCATCTGTTCTGTGAAGCTTGCAAACATAAGCCTTGATATCTTTGCTTCCTTTGCTAGGGAGACCTTTTTTCTTGGCCTAGCCTATTGCAGAGCAGAATGCCATCATGAAGATCTTCACCACACTTTTTATCCCTGAAACAAGCTCATAACCCTTTTGAGATGGTCTGTTATTATTATCATTATCATTTTTCTTAATCACAGTATCAGCAATAGTAAGGATGACATAAGCTGAAAAAATGCTGTCATTCTGATTCTCATTTCACTTAAATAAGTGAACACATATAGCATACATGCTTGATGCCAGTAAGGAATATGAAGCTGAATAAATTTGGTTCCTGGAGGGCTGCGTGGATCATAATAATGTTGGTTTAGGCCCACAATTTGTGATTGAGAGTCATTAAAATGTCAGAGTAGCACCCATTTATAGTATTGACTAACCAGCCTATGTGGTGTATACAAGTTGGTATGTGAGCTACAGAGTATGAAGTGTGATCTACATCTTTGAAGGACTCTGGAGGTAGAATAGAGCTGGAGATAATGCCAAGGAGATGAGCTCTGAGGCTGGGGTTATCTTCCCATTTTGCATCAACAGGATGTGGATGGAGGGGTCCCCCTAGGACCTACATTAGAACAAGGAGAGAAAAGGGGTCTAGGCTTGGCTTGGGCAAAATATAAGCTTATGAAAATTGAAGGAATAGGAGGAAAAGGAAAAACCAAGCTTCAAGAGTAGGAAAATTTGGATAGTTCCAGAATATACTAACTGTTGTGACCACTTCCAATTGCCAACTCATATATTAAAAATACAAACAGACATCTATAATCCAGCCACCACCTGTATCCTAACTTCCTATTGCCTTTAAAGCATTCAGGATCAGGCTCCAGACTCTACTGAAGAAGCCCCAGGTGCAAAAGGGCATGTATAACTGTTGTGATTTTTGTCTTGGGAAAAGATCCTTTAAGAGTCTTGAGTACAAGAGCAGGGCGGGCTGCAGAAGGTGTTAGAATATTAAAGTGAGAAGTTCATTGTTTAGCCAAGATATTTTTTAATCAAAAAAGTGAGAATGTAAACCTTTTTGCTTTCAGTAGGACAGCTGGCAGGAGGCTGATGCAGCTGATGTTAGTGTTTAAAGGAAATTGGCAGGAGATTCAGGCAGATGTGGTTTGAATACTTCCCTCAAAGGATTAGGCTGAGTCACAAAAAGAAGTACAGAATGGAGAGTCAGGGATTTGTGTCCTGGTCCAAGTTCTGCCACTGACTTGTTACTTGGGGTTTCATTTCACAGAGAAGGGAGGATCAGAAAAGCTGGATAATATTGAGTGATGGTGCCAAGATCATAACACGCATTCCTTAAGTTATCATACTCACTCCTCTATTAATCATTGCTGGAAATTTTCCACTCGGCATT